GGAGAAACCAAGCGGCAATAAAGCCACCATCGTCAAGAACACGGCTCAGCTCTCCAAGATCCCAAGTTATATCAGTCATCCACTCAGTCAGCCACTCAGCTAGCTACTCAGTCTGATACTCTACAAGACGAGGAGTAAGAGGAGGAACTACAATAGGCAAATGCGGAGAACACTGCGGAGAAACCAAGCGGCAACAAGGCCACCATCGTTAAGAACACGGCTCAGCTCTCCAAGATCCCACGTCATATCATTCATCCACTCAGTCAGCCACTCAGCTAGCCACTCAGTCTGATACTCTACAAGACGAGGAGCAAGAGGAGGAACTACAACAGGCAAATGCGGAGAACACTGCGGAGAACACTACGGAGAACACTGCGGAGAAACCAAGCGGCAACAAGGCTACCATCGTCAAGAACACGGCTCAGCTCTCCAAGATCCCACGTCATATACTCTCCACGGTTCCATATCAAATCATCACTCAGCAAGCGGAGAACACCACTACAACTTGGCCTGTTATCCCCACTGCATTAAGGAGTAAGAGGAGGAACTACAACAGGCAAATGCGGAGAACACTGCGGAGAAACCAAGCGGCAATAAGGCCACCATCGTCAAGAACACGGCTCAGCTCTCCAAGATCCCACGTCATATGCTCTCCACGGTTCCACATCAAATCATCACTCAGTAAGCGGAGAACACCACTGCAATTTGGCCTGTCATCCCCACTGCATTAATATGGTACATTACTGCGGCCTCTGCAGGAGAAACATCGGACGATGCATATTTGGACGAATTGAAACCGTTCGATGTCTTGCTCTGACAGCTATTTCATTATTCGAAAGATTTCACTGCGGCAGGAGATAATGTGGGATTCACACCACTAATTGGCATATTGTCTCCATTTCTTTCCGGTATTTCGATACTTCTTACCATAAGGACATGGCCTTTCTCTGTTTTTTATGGGCAATTATTACGGATCAATCCTACATACTCGATACAGCTTCCTAATTAGGCCTTAGCGCGCCTCTCTCCGCACATATATATCTGTATGTAGGTCAAAAACGCACAGCAAGCGATCAGAGTTCGATTTGACTTAGGGCTAGGGCTAAAATTCGATTTAACTTAGAAAAATCCAACTCCATAAATTTAATTCATAGGCCTTTACTTATAATTATAAATATAATAAAAATAGATAAGATTATATTAAATAATAACGCTTAATAAATATAATTTATTTAAATTTATATCTTTAAAATTAAAAAGAAAACGCGTTATTTATTAATATTTAAATTAAATTAAATAATATAAAATAATTTAAATATTTAATATACGCGATAGATATCTAAGCTTTTTCTTCTTTTTAAGACTTTTTTTTTATATTAACTTTTCTTATTATAAAACTATCTTCTTTATATATTAGACTTTTATTTAAATAATCTAATATTATTATAATAATATTTAAAATATAATATAAATATTAAGTTATATATTTATTTTTTATTTATTAATAATTTTAAATTAATATATAGATAGATCGCGCGAAGAGCTTAATTTATATATATTTAATCTATTATTAATAGCTCTTCGAAAAAATTAATATTATTTTAAATTATACGCGATAATAATCTATTTAAAAGCGTTATAATAAAGCGTTTATTAGATATTATTATTATTTTAATAAATATTATTATTACTTTAATAGATATTACTTTTATTTTAATAATATTAAAATATTAATAAAAACTAAATAATATATTTTTTTAATTATTATTATATTTATTATATATAATTAATACGAGCTATAGCTTAAACTTTACGCGAGATTTATCGCTATTAAATTTTAATTAATTTTATAATTTTAAAATTTCTCTTTTAGCGTATAGTTTATAAAATCTTATATTATATATATATATTATATTATTTAATTATTATCTTTAAAAATTCGCTTTTAAAAAATAACTCTATATTTTTATTATAAATAAGATATTAAATAGAATAATTAATAATATTTAAATCTCTTATTTACTAGCTAGTAATAAGTCTTATAATTTAAATATCTAATTATAATTAAAATTATAATTATAATTATCTTTATAATTATAATTAATATAAATTAAGACTTTTTATTAATATATAACTTTTTTTAAAAGATTTATATAAGTATAATTAAAGATTAATATTTTTTTAAATATTAAATATTTAGCGAGAAATATTAGAAGATTTATATCTAAATATTTAATAATTATATATTAAAATTTATTTATTTTAAATTCTAGATCTAAATATCTTTATTTTTAAATAAGATAAAGAAACTATAGATTTAAAATTAAATATTATTAAGAGTTATCTATTATTTTCTATCGTATTTTAACTATTTATAATTATTAATATATTCGCTAATTAGAAAGACGTATTATTATTATATAAATTTAATCGCGATATAAATAATAATAATAATAATTAAAGTTATTAAATATAGAGATATTTATTAATAAGAAAGATATATTATTATTATATAGATTTAATCGTAATATTAATAATAGTTATAAGAATTAAAACTATCGAATATAGAGATATCTATTAATAAGAAAGATATATTATTATTATATAAATTTAATCGTAATATTAATAATAGTTATAAGAATTAAAACTATCGAATATAGAGATATCTATTAATAAGAAAGATATATTATTACTATACGAATTTAATTAAAATATTAATAATAATTATAAGAACTAAAGCTATCGAATATAAAAATACTTATTAATAAGAAAGACGTACTAGTACTTTACGAATTTAATGGCGATATTAATAATAATTTTAAAAATTAAAGCTATCGAATATAGAAATATAATCTTTAATTTAATATAGATTTTAAAATAAAAAATCTCTTTTATTAAAGTAGAAGTATCTTTATAAATATATATCTATATTTAAATCGATTTAAAAAGTTTTATTCTATAAATATAAAATATATAAAGTTATTAAATTAAGTATAATAGCTAAATATTATTAATTAAGCGTAATAAATAGAATAATAATTAGAATATCTTATTCTTAACTTAGAATAATTCTTCTTTTATTTATTATATATTTTTTTTTATAAAAACTACGTCTAGACTTTAATAATATTATATTATTATTTATAAATTTATATCTTATTATAATTATTTAAAAAGCTATATATCTTTTAATTATAAAGTAATTCTTTTTATATAAAATATATATAATTAAGCCGCTAGATATTAATTAATAATTTTCTTTATTTCTAATTATTAGAGAGTAAGTTATATTATTAAAATTACTCGCTAATTTTATCTTTATAACTTTTTAAAGTATAATTAATATAAAAATTTAAATTCGAAGCGAATTAATCGAATTTAATATTATATAAATTAAGATCTTCTTTATTATTTAAATAAATATAATTTAAAAAATAATTAAATTTATTAATTTTTATAATTCGCGGATTTTTTTTTAATATATAAGTTTTAAAATCTAATTAATAATAATATAATTAGCGCGTATAATTAACTTACTACTTAACTTAGATATATATAATTAATATAATTATATACTTTTCTTATTTATAATTATACTTCTTAAACTTTATATATAATTTTCTAATTTTTATCTTTATAAAGTCTTATCTTTATTTCGCTTTAATAATTTAGATAAGTCTAGATTAGTAATTAATAATTAAGAATTTTATAAAATTTTATAATTATTAAATTAATAGCTTTAATAGATAATAATATTATATATTAACGAATTATAATTAATATTATAATTAATTATTATATTAAAAAATATATCGCTATTAAATATATACTTACTTTATAAAAATAATATTATTAATCTAATTTAACTATAGAATATAGAGAAAATAATTTTATTTTCTCTAAATATAGATAATATTATAATAAATAAATATATTATAATATAAATACTATAATAATAAAAAGAATTTTTAAAAAAGAAGAGAATAAATTAGAAAAGAATAATATTAAATATCTATTATCGAGTTAACTAATATTATATAATTAAAATCTTATTAAAATAAAATATTATTTAAAGATAGATTAGGTTTAAATATTAATTAGAAAGCTAATTAGAAAAAGAGATTAACTTTTTTTTATTAATATATATCGTAAAGCTATATATAAACGCTTCTTTTTATAATTTAAAATATATTTTAAATATTTATAATTATATATATACGCTCTCTCTTATATTATATATATTTCGATATTCTTTATATACGCGATATATTTATTAAAGATAATCTTATTAATTTAACTAATTTCTATTTAATCTTATATTTACTAATTATAAAAAAACTCTTTATTTTAATATTATAACTTTATTAATTCGTTATTTTTAGATATTAGATTATTTATAGCTTATAATTAATTTATTTACTCTCTTCTCTTTTTCTATTATAAAGATAAAAGAAGATATTATTTCTTTTTCGCCTTCGTTTATAATAAATCTATTATTATTTTTATAAGATTAAAAATATTAATTTAAAGATAAGATCTCTTAATTAAAAGTAAAGAATATAATACTTTAATAGTTTAATATCTAAGTAAAAAATATTATAATATTATTTAAATAAGAGAGAGATATATTAATAAGAAAGATCTCGAGATTTAAAAATAATCTTAATATAATAAAAGATTTAATTTTTATATATAGAAGATTTAGATAGTAATTAATCTAGCTAATTAAATTATTAAAGCGTCTAAATTAAATTTTAATTCTATATTAATATTAAGAAAATGTTCTAAGTGAAATTATATGCATGAATAATATATGTGTGTAGTGTGATAATAATGAACTATGTAGGCCTGCAGTGGAAGAAGTCTCTGCAGTGCCAAGGCACTAAGCTCAATCGGGACGCCTAGTGGAGGAATCCGTAACAAATGCCACCGAAGAAGAAAAATGATAGCGTCCTCGCTGCAGACATGAAGATACCAGAGATACATCATATACCGTGGGCCTACTTCTCCTGGATCTTCTCTGAAACACCTATCCTTGGCCTATAGCCTCCATACCTCCCGCGTAGTGAATGTAGCCGGGTAGAGAGGCGAGAAGAGAGACGAGGAAGAGAGGCGAGAAGAGAGGCGAGAAGAGAGGCGAGAAGTGGAGCGTTACTGAGGCGAATGGGAGACTCTCCGCAATAATGCATAGTAGCCTGGTGTGGAATAGTGGAGAGTGTGCCGGCTTGAATAGGACTGCTGGCGATGCTTTTCTCCTCCGTAGTCTTCTCCGTAGATTTCTCCGTAGATTTCTCCGCAGTTTTCTCCGCAGTTTTCTCCGCAGTTTTCTTCACAATTGACTGTTCCTGAGTAACAATCTGTCTGGTCTCGAAGGCTGTTATAGCCTGACTGATAGCCTGTTTAATTGCTGCTTTGACGGATGCATTGATTATGGCCTGTAAGGATGTGGTCTGCTTGACTGTGAAACCCGGCATAGGGCTAGAAATGTGGCTATTGTATGCCATGGTGGTAGAACGAATGGCCTAGTGAAAGGATCGCTGTAGACGAGTGTTTGTAGGATTTGATTAGGTGCTGGATAAAGGCGAGGTAGGCGTCTAAGAGATATTGGAGATACTACACTCGGTGGGAGTGGTATTCTCTATAGATTTCTCCGGTTGATGAGTGTTATAGGGGCCTCTTGATATTATAGACACTGAATAGGTGAGGATGTAACGAGGACAGTTAGTGCTAGGCCTGAATTGATCGAGGTATTACTATTATTATTAAGGAAATATTCTAAGTGAAATCATATATATGAATAATATATGTGTGTAATATAATAATAATAAAGTATATAGATCTATAGTAGAAGAAGTCTTTATAGTATCAAGGTACTAAGCTTAATCGAGACGTCTAGTAAAGAAATTCGTAATAATTAATATCTAATAAAATTAATTTAATAATTTTAAAATATTAATATATACTCTTATTAATATAACTAATAATTAAAATACTAATTAAAAAATATAATTTTTAATTTTAATATTTAAAATAGTATAGCGATAAATAAGTAATATTAAAGTAAATTAAATATATATTATATTAAGTAGAGAAGCGTTAATAGCTAGACTAATTAGAGTTTTAAATTAATTAAATTAAATATTAATTCTATATTAGCGTTATTATATACTTTTAAATATATAATTATTAATTATAATATTAATTAGAAAGAATTAATCTTTAATTTAAAATATTAAAAATAATATAGCGATATATTATTAAAGCGATATAAAATTCTATTATAATAAGAAGATAGAATTTATATATTAAATATTAATTTCATTTTATTTTTAATATTTTATTTATTTATATATTTCTTTTAATTTCTCTTTAAATATCTTAATTTTAAGATATTATTTAATCTTTATTTAGTATAAATCTAGCTTTTTAATTAATAATACTTAATATAAGATATTAATAAATATATTTCAATATAAAAATAATAATAAATCTTACTTTCTTTTTAATATTAATAAAAAATAAATATAAATATAATAGTAAATAAAGATAGTATAAGTTATATAAAATTAGTTTAAACTTAATAATAATTATTAATTTATTTATTAAGACTTAGATATTAGAAAATTCTAGAAGTAAATATAATTTAATAAATATATATTTACTAATTTTAAAGAGTTATATATTATTTATTATTACTATAATAAGATTTTAATTTATTTATTTATAGATTATAAAATAAGTAATATAATAATATATATTAAGTTTAAAAGATATATTAAGAAATCTAATTTAAGTAATTTATAATTAACGAATTTAATCGATAATTATAGAAATTAGATATATTTTTAAATTAGACGATATAGATTATTAATAAATAAAATAAAAAATAAAAAATCTAGCTTACTATTTACTTTAGAAAAAATTATATTAAAAAAAAATTATAATACTAGAAAATTAAAAGCTTATATATAAAAATTTCTTTAAATAATTTTATCGCTAGATTATAAATATTAATATTTATTTATAATCGCTAATAATTTTAAAATATTACGATTTTTACGCTATCTTAATCTTAATATATAATTAAAATTAATATTTATTATAAAGAATTAATTAATAAAAAAAACTATAAAGTTAGAGTTAGAATTATTAAAGAATTTACTAATCGATAATACTAAAGTCTTTTTAATTTTAAATTATTAATTACTTTATAATCGTTAATTATTTATAATAATTCTAATTTTTTTTATTAATATTAATTAGTAATAATATAAGATTCTTATAGATTTTAAATATATCGAAGATAAATATATTAGCTAAAAACTTATAAGTATTATTAATCTAATTCTTAAGAAATATAAGATTAAAATTTATATATTTAAACTTATAATTAATAACGCTAATAATAATAATATACTCTTTAAAGATTTAATTATTTATCTTTTTATTTTTATAATAAATAACTCGCTTAATATTAAAGAATTTAAGTTCTTAAATTATTTATAATATATTTTCTATATAATATATATTATTTAATTAATCTTAAAAGAACTTCTAGATAATATTAAAGTTATTTTAATAAATAAATTTTTTTAAAAAAGTTAAAATAATAAAGAAAATAAAAATTAAGTTTAGATAAATATAATTAATCTATTAATAACTCTAATAAAAATATAATATTTCTTATTATTATTTTAATTATTATATTATTAATTATATTTAAATTTAAAAAATTATTATATATATTAATATTAGCGATTAATATAAAGAGATTTTTTTATATTATAAATTAAACGATTTTAAAATAAAGATATTTTAATATTAAATAAACGTTAATCTTTTAAAGAGAAATAATATTATTAAAAATATTCTTTTAAACTCTTTTAGAATATTAAGACTCGTAGATTTAACTTATTAGATATTAATTCGCGTTTTACTTCTTTATATCAATACTATACACTTTTTAAAAAATAGATTAACTATTTATTTAAGATTAAAAATTAAAAATTAATTATAAATAGAAACTATAGTCTAGACGTTTAAATAATTTTTAATTAATTCTTAATAGATTTAATGTTTAATTTAGCTTATTTAATTTTTTTATAAATTTATAAAATTAATAAGTAGAGAAAAGAAGACTATAATTTATTATATATTTAATATTTATAATTATTTATTTAATTATATAAATAAAGAACTCGAAAAATTAAGAAGAAAGAGAATTTTTTTAGAAAAAAGAACTTTTTAAAGCTTTTAAAGCGATTTATAAAAAATTAATTATTTATTATAATCGAGTTTAATTAGATTTAGATTATCTATATAAATAAGCTCTACTTTTATATCTAAATTATAATAATATAAAATTAAAAAAATTAAATTAAAAGATTAATATTAAGAAGAAATTATAGATAAAAATCTATTAAAAAGCGTTTAAAAGAATATTTTAAAGTTATTAAGATATTAATATAAGTAGTTAATTATAAAGAGCTAAGCGAATAAATTAATTAAATAAAAATATATTTAATTAAGTAATAAAATTTAAGATTAAGAATTTAGATAATAAGAATAAATATAAATAGTTTTAGTAATATAGAAAAAATAATAAATCTTCTAATTATTATTCGAATTATAATCTTATTTTAATTTTTATAAAGCTTCTTTTAATAATTTAGCGAATCTTTTAATTTTAGAGTAATAGAAGAAATTAAAATTTAAATATACTATAATTATTACGAGCGTATTTTATATTCTTAATATATTACTTAGCTCTCTAATCTATTCGAGCCTAGCGTATCTTAATAAAGATATTTATCTATTATTTAATATCTCTCTTCTATCTATATAATTCGATATCTTAGTTATTTTATTTAAAATATCTATATTAATATTATATTTATATTAGTTCTAATATTATAATTAAGATTAACTTATTTATTTTATTTATATTAGTAAATAAATTTAAAGAAACGCGCTAATAGAGACTTTAATAAAATATTAAGTTAAGTTATTATATTTTTAAATAAGCTTATTAAATAAATAATTTAATTTTAAAGCGAATCGAATTCGATAAATAGTAGTTAAGAGATAAATAAGATATTAGATTATTTATATAGCTAGCGAATTAAAAGAAATAGCTAATATTATTAAAATATTATCTATAAGCTTCTCTATATATAACTTCTTTATAAGATAAAAGACTCTCTAAGCGAAGTAAGTATATTCGAAAGAGTACTATTTAAAGTATTTATAGTCTTTTTAATACTTTAAATAATTAAGAAATAAGTATATTAAGTCTACTAATCGAAAAGATATAATATATTCTATAGAATATTTTATATTAAGTAATATTATATCGTATTCGAGTATAATATAAATAGAGTCGAATATTATTTTATTTTTCTAATATAAATTCGAAATCTTAATAAAATATCTTACGATATAATATATCTATAATATTATATTATAAAATAGTATATATATAAGATATCTCGTTAAGATTTCTATATTTAAAAGTATAAAGTAGCTATTTTAATTATTATTCTAGTTAACGATTAATTATATCTACTCTTATTCGATATACTTACTAGTCGAAAAGATATAAAATATTTTATAGAATATTCTATATTAAGTAATACTATATCGTACTCGAGTATAGTATAAATAAAATCGAATATTATATTATTTTTCTAATATAGATTCGAGATCTTAACGAAATATTTTATAATATAATATATCTATAATATTATACTATGAAATAATATATATATAAAAGATTTCTATTAAGATTTCTATATTTAGAAGTATAAGTAGCTATTTTAATTATTATTCTAGTTAATTATAACTATTATTATTATCTATTATAACTATTACTATTATAACTATTACTATTATAGCTACTATTATTATAGCTATTACTATTATAACTATTACTATTATAACTATCTCTATTATAATTATCTCTATTATAACTACTTTTATTATAATTACTTCTATTATAGCTATTACTATTATAGCTATTACTATTATAACTATTATTATTATAGCTATTATATAATAGTAAACTATTTTAATAATAAATAGTAGTAGCTATAATAGTAGTAGATATTAATAATAGTAGCTATAATAAAAGTAGTTATAATAGATAGTTATAATAGTAATAACTATAATAGTAATAGCTATTATATCGAATTTATCGAATAAATATATCTAAATATAGAAATTTTAGTCGAGATATCTTATATATATATTATTTTATAGTATAATATTATAGATATACTATATCGTAAAATATTCTATTAAGATTTTATATTATATTATATATAAAATTATATAAATCTTAATAACTTATATTATATTAGAGTATAATATAATAGATTAATATCTTATTTTATATTATATCTTTTCGACTAGTAGATATACTATTATAATTATTATTATTATAACTATTATTATTATAACTATTATTATTATAATTATTATTATTATAACTATTATTATTATAACT